TCCTCCTCCTCCCTCCTCCCCCCCTTACATCCCCCTCCCTCCCTCCCCTCCCCCCTTCCCCTCCCCTCCCCCTCCTCCTCCCCCTTCCCTCCTCCTCCTTTCTCCTCTCCTCCTCCTCCTCCTCCTCCTCCTCTCCTCCCCACCTCCCACCTTCCCCTCCTCCTCTTCTCCTCCTCCTCCTCCTCCTCCTCCTCTCCTCCTCCTCCTCCTCCCCTCCTCCTTCTCCCTCCTCCCTCCCCCTCCTCCTTTTCCTCCTCCTCATCCTCTCCTCCTCCCTCCTCCTCCTCCCTTCCCTCCCCCTCCTCCTCTTCTCTCTCTCTTTCTCTCTCCTCCTCCTCCTCCTCGTCCTCCCCCTCCTTCTTCCTCCCTCCTCCTCCTCCACCTTCTCCTCCTCCTCCTCCTCCTCCTCCTCCTACTCTTCCATCTCCTCCCCTTTGTCCTCCTCCTCATCCTCCTCCTCCTCGTCCCCTGGGGATTAGAAGACTGCCCGACTGCATTGTAGCTGCATTACATGGCACAGACACACGTGAGCTCTGGGAGGCGGCGGATATGGGGTCCGTCTGCACGTTGTGTTCTCCAGGTAATACGGCTCGCTTTGCCTGCGAGACCGATTCTTTGCAGCATCAACGAATCAAACACAAGAGAAGGAATCAGATGTCGCTGATTATCGCTGGTAGCAGTGTCTGCCCGTCTTGTGGCACCGATTTCCGGCAGAGGCACGGATTGCTGCGACATCTTACGGACAGGAGGCGGAGCTAGTGTCAGCGAGCGGTTACGCTCCTTGTCCGGAGCTGAATTGCAGAGGCTGGACGCCCAGACCCGACAGGTAGCTACAACCAGTCGCCAGGAGTGTCAGAGCCACCCTCTTGCCAACGTTACAGCACCCACGGCAACTGGCAAAAGGTTTTGGCACGCACTGTCCGCATAGTCCACCTAGCACTGAACAGTTCCTCGCTGTGCACCTGAGACACTCTAGAGTACCCCTCGGGATCAAATAGCAGTTGCCTGCGGTAAGCCCCGCCACCGTGCGAATTCGTGCAGTCTGTTTCAGGAGATTTCTCACGACAGGCTCAGTAGAACCATCCTGGGGATGTCTGGGAAGCGTTGCGACGGTCTTGCAGCGTGGCGTGGCTGTACCGCTGCATGGTTGGGTGCTTCTCGGGGACCTCTCGGGGCACACTCGGGGGAATACTGGGGTATTCAGGAGAGTACATTGAATTCTTGTTGGGTGTCTCGGGGCCGTCTTAGGCGCGATTGTTCTACCGCCCCCCTTCAGAAGGGGCTCGATTGAATGGTAGTTTTGTTCAAGATGACCCCGATGTAATGAGGATCGTCTTGGTGGGTCATGGGGCCTGTTTGGAGCCATATTTGGGTGGTCTTGGGCCGTCTTGGTGGGTGTCGGGCCGTCTGCGGGACTTCTTGTGACTGTCTTAACTTTTCCTTCCTGCAATTGGAAGTCCAGCATGTCGCGACCAGTTCATACGCCCCATGCGGGGCCCAGCGAACAGATGGGATGAGAGATCATTAAAGAAGCTCGTCTGGACCGCTGGGATCGCAGTAACTTCCGTACCGACTACCGACGGTGCGGTCCATGCTCGGCGAACTTGGCAGGAACGCCGGCATGAGCCCCAGCCGCGGCCTCGCGCCAGCCAAGGAAGGCAACCCGCCGCTGGTATTAATGATACAGAACGAGACCAATGCGGTACTGTGGCTCTTGGATCGACCTTGGGGAAGCCTCTGGTTCTTCCGGCGCAGCATCAGCGGCAGCCCGCGCCGAGCAGGATGGCAGCAGTGTTAGCGCCGCAGCAGCGGCAGCAGGGGAAGCCGCTGTTCAGCAGATGACGGACGAAGATCTTGAAGCGATCGCGGTGGCCAAGACCAAGACACGTCTTTGGGGAAACGTTCAAATTCAGAAGCGAGCCACCAATACGCAGTCAACCCCGTAGGATCCCAGGAAAGAAGCAGAGGTTCAGCAAGACGTCGAAGGTCGGCGGCAGTATCTCTCCAACTTCGGATGCAGAGCTGGATGCCTTGCTCGACAAGATGGGAGAGGGGGGTCTACGAGGAGGCAGCCGAGACGGTCTTCCAGCATTGCTGCCAAGGCGAAGTTCCAAAAACGTCATTCTACTGCTGTGTCTCCCGCGCTCCTCGTCTACGCAGGCGCTCTTGGGACCAAGCATGGGCTCCGTTCCTTATGCGGCGTTCCTTCTTTCAGCAGCCCGGCTGCCAGCCCCGTTGCGAGCCCCGCTTGAAGGATCTTTGGCTTTTTACTTATGTGGTTACTGCGTCAGTCTCCCCCCACGGGCTGCGGCCTGATCTCCTCCCTTGCTCTCGTCGGCCGCCAGCCCTCACCATGTGAACCCAGCCGCTGCGGCCTTCGGTGGAGCTCCCAAGTGAGCCCACGAACAGCGAGAGCGCTCTGCCAAACAGGGGCGGGCCACCATGCTAACCCTGCCGGTGGGGCCTGCGGTGGAGCTCCCCAGGGGGCCACGAAACGAGTGAGGGGTGTGCCGACATGAGGCGGGACTCCGTGCGGACTCCGCCACTGGGGCCTTCGGTGGAGTTCCCTGGATGGCCACGAAACCTGTGAGGGGTGCGCCGACATGGGGCAGAGTACCGTGCGAACCCTGCCGCTAGGGCCTTCGGTTGAGCCCCCTAGAGGGACCGCCTGGAACCGTTGGCAACGCCAGTAAACCTACGCCAGGTATGTCTTCATTCCAGGGGAAGTATGAGTCCAAGGACTGTTTCGGGACGAAGTGAGGTCCCAGGGGTGGTGCAACAACTGCGTCGAGGATCATCCGAAGCAGCGTTCGGCTCAAGCGTGGGCTGCCGATCTCTCCACCGCAAGACCGCTTTTTGTACACTCTTCTACCCATCGGACCGTCACCATGGCGCCGTCCGCCGTCGCAGTGCTCTTCGCTCTGCTGGGCTGCGCGGGCGCCATTCAGCTCGGAGCACGGGCCAACTCGAGCTCAGCGTCAGCAGATTGCAGCTTGTTCGAGGACGCCGCTGGCTTCACTGGCTGGCAGTACCTCTCGAGCCCGGTCTCGTCGGCGACCCTCGCGGGAGACTTCACGCTCTCGATCAAGATCGAGACCGGCAGCCCCCCTTGCGCCAGCGGCTGGACAGGTCAGCATCGTCTATCCCATCCCCGTCCCCACAGCCGCCTCCACTGGGGCCAAGGCTGCGCCAGTGATGACAGGGATCGGTGAGGCGATGCTCACAAAGGGATCATGGGCGGCGCCTGCGGCTCGATGGGCCTCTGGTTCGGCAGCGGCCTGAGGAACGAGCGCCAGTGCGGGCCGCACCCGGGCACGTCCCTCATCGCGTGCAGCTCCTTCGGCGCCAGCACGGAGTCCAGGGGCAACGTCTGGGGGGGGAGGGGGCTCGGGGGGCGACGCGCCGAGCTCCGAGCGCACATCGATTGCCTGGCAGGGGCCCGGTGGCCCCGCTCCGCGCAGGGCCGTGCGGAGCTGCTCTCTCGGGGACGCGTCGCCGACCCATCGGCGGTGTGCCTCGCCGACGCCAGGGCGATGCTTTCCCCCCCCCCCCGAGCTGGCCCCCCCACGGACGTTCCCCCGCAGGAGTACTGGATCACCATTGTGCGCTCGGGCGCCACGGGCACCATGAGCGTCTACACGGTCAGGAATGACGGCGGCTACGGCTCGCTCGTGGACAGCTCGACGTACGCGATGGAGTCGAGCTACTCGGGCGGCATCACGACGATTGGCTGCGCCCACAACGGCGGCAGTGAGGCTTTCGATGGCAAGATCTTCTGCATGGGCTCGTCGATGCCGCCAGCTGCGGGAGCGGGTGGAGCCGCTGCCGTAGGCGATCCCCATCTGCAGAACATCCATGGCGACCGGTTCGATCTGATGCAGGAGGGCAAGCACGTTCTGATAAATATCCCTCGTGGGCAGAGCGCCGAGAGGGCCTTGCTTCGCGTTCAGGCCGATGCGCGCCGATTGGGTGGACAGTGTGCGGACATGTACTTCCAGGAGCTGAACATCACGGGGTCTTGGGCTGAGGCGCAGCAGCCTGGAGGATATCGCTACAGCGTGTCGCAAAGCGATGGCGAGACTCAGGACTGGACCGCGGTCGGCAAGGTCGGGCTCAAGGTCGTGCGCGGGCACACTGACACCGGCCTGCTGTACCTGAACGTGTACGTGAAGCACCTGGGGCGGGCGGGGTACGCTGTGGGGGGCCTGCTGGGCGAAGACGACCACGAGGACGTTGCCTCTGTTCCAGAAGGACTCGGCGGCGCGCGGCAAGTGGGTGGGGCGAGGGGCGTGGGGCCTTCTGGGACGTCCTGGTCGGATCTCAGGGGGCAGGACTCCGAGATCCGCAGTTGCGACAAGTGGCAAGGGGAGCCCTCTGCCCCGTCTTTCTCTGGGCTTTCTCGAGGCAGATCGGTCTGTGGTGGCCCCGGAACCAAAGGGGGAGCACGCCCGCAGTGAAACATTTAGCGCTGCCCGGATCTCTCAGAGGGCCACTTCCCTTCACCTCCCCCTTTCTGCGCGCCGCCGGACAGAGGATGTGCCAACCTCATGTCCCTCGCGGCGGCGGCTCCGAGCGGCCGGGGCCCCTCGACGGCCTCGGTCGCAGCGGCAGACCTGGCGTGAGGTCGCTCCCGCGGAACCGCGGCGCCGAGCGATGAGGCCCTCGCAGCAGCGACTCGGATGAGCGACCGGGGCCCTCGAATGCCGAAGGCCGAGGGCCTCGGTGGGCAGCAGCAGACGGGCTTTTCGACCGCTGCTGCTGCGACCGAGCCTTCGGTGTGTGTGTGTGTGTGTGTGCGCGTGTGATTGTGTGTGTGCGCGTGTGTGTGCGTGTGTGTGTGCGTGTGTGTGTGTGTGCTTGTGCTTCTGCTTGTGTGTCTACGTCTAGGTAGGGCCACGCCCGGCGTGACCATGCGACGTTTCGGGATCTTTTGCAAGGGCCACGCCACGGCTCGATTGCTTGACGCCTTCTGTGTTTCCTGGACGCGGAGAGGCCCCTCCTCCGTCTCCTTCTGTCCCTGCTCCCGTTCCCCTTCTCCTCCTCAGCCTCAGCAGCATCATCATGACGATGATGATGATGATGACGGTGGTGATGATGATGCTGATGGTGATGATGCTGATGGTGATGATGATGCTGCTGATGGTGATGATCACGATGCTGCTGGTGATGATCCTGCTGATGGTGATGATCATGATGCTGCTGCTGATGCTGCTGATGGCGATGCTGCAAATGATGGTGATCATGATGATGATGCTGATGATGGTGATGGTGGTGATGTGATGGTGGTGGTGATGATGATGATACTGATGATGATGGTGATGATCACCATCATCGCCACCATCAGCATCGTTACCATTATCATCAATTTCGTTATCATGATGATCATCATAGTCATCATCCGTGAGGCGTATGCCGACACGAGGCGTGACTTCGTGCGGACTCCGCTTGGGGCCTTCGGCGGAGTTCCCTGGATGGCCAAACATGGGGTATATTACCGTGCGAACCATTCGGGCCCAGCGGCACAAAGAAGCACAGGCGCCCCGTGCAGCACACATTTCCGGATCCTGACCCCCGGATGTTCCCGGAGGTCCCTGGAGGTCCCCGGAGATCCGTGGGCGCCCGGAAGGGGCCGAAAACGCCCCACAACCGTCAAAGAACGTTCGAATACCCTCGTCGATCCTCGAGGAGGGCCGAGTACGAGAGGGAGGACGAGGCAGGGGCAGGGCAGGCGGCGGAGGAGCGGCAGCAGTGGTAATGAGGAGAGGGGCATTCGGAGCCAGAGGTGAGGATCTAGGCTTCCCAGACAGGGGGATCGGAGGATCGCGCCGTCGTCGGCGATGCATCGCCGATGCTGTTCGATGCGGAGCCCGTTTTGCTTCACGCCGACGTCGCCGATGCGTCGCCGACGTCGGCGATGCATGGTCGATGCATCGCCGATGCATCGGCGATGCATTGCTGATGTATTGGCGATGTGGTGAGATCCTCCGACCCCATGTGCCTGGGCGCCATCTAGGAGGCCTCTAGAGGAGGACGACGACGGAGAGGAACACGAGGGCGGAGGGGGAGGAGGAGGATCAGGAGGAGGAGGAGCACGAGGAATATCAGAGGAGGAATCTGTATCCATAACGCTACCCTTGCCCCGTTTTCGCATTTTGGGGCCTCCTGAGAGGCCCTCGCCGCCACCGTCGGATTCGCTTCGAGATCTTGGTCAGAACGCACCCTGGGAGAGCTCCGGGGAGGAGCGGTGTCAGTCCTCTTTGGTTACCCCGAAGGAGGAGGGAGAGGAGGAGGAGGAGAAGGAGGCGGAGGAGGAGGGACTAGGAGAGAGGAAGGGAGGGAGGGAGGGAGGGAGGGAAAGAGGGAGGGAGGGAGGGAGGAGGCGGAGGGAGGCGGAGGCGGAGTTTGAGGCGGAGGAGGAGGAGGAGGAGGAGGAGGGGAGGAGGAGGAGGAGGAGAGGAGGAGGAGGAGAAGAGGAGGGCAGGAGGAGGAGGAGGAGGAGGAGGTGGAGGAGGAAGAGGAGGAGCAGGAGGAGGAGGAGGAAGGTGCAGGAGAGGAGGAGGAGGAGGAGGAGGAGGAGGGAGAGGAGGAGGAGGAGGAGGAGGAGGAGGAGGAAAATGAGGAGGAGGAAGAGGAGGAGGAGGAGGAGGAACAGGAGGAGGAGGAGGAGGAGGAGGAGTTGGAGGAGGAGGAGGAGGAGGGATACGTTCAGGAACGGCATCCGCAGCATCTGGAGCCAGGGGGGCGGTGGGCAGAAGGCTGTGGGCTCCGATCACGCTTGGGTGCCGCTGGCCGCTGTTCAGGACGATTCGCATGGGTACGGAAAGAATGGGTGCAAAGACCGACAGGAGTTCCTGCTCGTTTTGAGCTGGACTCGCTGTTGGTGTCGCCGCGGGCGCTGTCCTTCCTTTGAGGCCGAGGGCCGCCTCTGCCCCGCGGCCCACGGCGGCCGCCGCCGGTCTTGGACGACAGTTGCTGTTCGGCATCGTGCCCATTGGCGTGCTTGTACTCGCTCAGGAGGATAAAAATACCCCCTGACCCAAATGATACGATGACGACGTGGCCTCACCTTGGCCCCCTTTTCACAACAGGACTAGTACTGATGGGCGGTTTGGATCGACACGCCCGCAGGAAGGACCCCCCTGTCCCCGATGTTCCTGGCCCTCCTAAGTCCGGTGGGGTCTTTTCATACAGCCGGGGCCCTGAAGAAGGAACCCTTTTCGTTCGGGAGGGGCTCCGCGTTCCCTAAGTGTTTCACAGCTTGCCTCAGGTTTTCATTCTGTTTTCGATAGGAAATCGAAGTTTAATTTATGGAAAAAAGGGGCCTCGTTCCTTATTTAGGGTTCCTTAGGTCAACGCCTCGACTGTATGCCTAGCATCGCCCGCGTCGGGCGTGTGCAGAGCGGTGGGCCTGGCGGCTCCCGCGCCCCCCGGGGCGGCCAGGCGAAGGGGCCGCAGCCGGAGGCGGAGAACACGCTTCTCCTCCAGACTTTCACGGGCAAGGCCCCCCCCCCCTTTGTGGGCCCCGGAAACGGCAGGGCCGTTTTTTCACCATTTCCAAAAAATGCCCCTTGAACATGGAAACGGCAAAAAAACGGCGACCGGAAAGGGCAAAAAAACGGCTCCAGGATTGGAACCGGAGCCGGAACTGGTCAACAAACGGCGACGGAACCGGTAAAAAAACAGCGTCGGAACCGGCAAAGAAACGGCAAAACGGAACCGGGAAAAAAACTGCCCTGTCGTTTCCAGGGCCCACTAAGCCCCCCCCTGCTGCTGGGGGCGGCTGGAGTCGGGCGACGAGGACTATGCACGTGCACCAATCTTGGGTCGAGGATGGGCTGGGCCTTGCCAGGATCGGTGCATGTGCCTGTCCGGCCAAGGTGGGAGGGCGTATGCGCTGATCCTGGGCTCAGGATGGGCCTGGCCAGAATCGGTGTATGTGCAGAGTTCTCTTTCGGGCAGGGGTAGGGGGCCGAGGATGGGGGCGGTGGGGAGGATTCTGCTGGTGATGGTGATGATGTGGCACCGGTGCAGGGGATCCGAGGGACCGATTGTTCTCCCGCTAGCTCCGCACGCAAACGGCGCACAGAGCTGATCTGAAGTCCTTATTCTTCATCTTCTTCATTTTTTTCTTCGTCTTCCTATTGTTCTTATTATTCAGCATCGTCATCTTCGTCTCGTTCCAGTCCTCTGCGGACTGCGAACCTCCTGGCCGCATCCCCTGCCTGATCCCCGCCAGGTTCTGCCTGCCCGCCTGCCCGCCTGCTTTGTCGCCGCTGCACCCCTTCGCGGGCGTCTTGAGCTGCTCTCTCGCGACCGCCCTGCACGATGCACAGCTTCTGGGCTTCCAGCGTACAGTCAAGACGCTGAAATAAGGAACAGTTTGGGTCCGGAAGGGGCTGGACGGTCTTCAGGTCCTTTCATGGCTGTTCTTCCAGCCCACCTCGTCAGCGAAGGCGGTCTTGGGACCTAAGATGGGGTACGCTCCTTATTTGGCGTTCCTTATTTCAGCGGCCCGACTGTAACGTCGTACCTGTGCGCATGGCTCGGGTGGATGGCTTGTTGTCCCACTGGCGCTCCCTGCGTGCTGTGCCGCGTGCGCGGGGTGCCTCCGCCTGCACCATCCCCACGCGGTCCTCTTCTCGAGCTACCTCGCGCTCTGGGACTATGAGGCCCCCTCGAGCCGCCACTCTCGCACGCGAAGGCCCTCGCCTCCTCCTCCGCCTTGTGCGCCGCGTCCTTCACTAGCTCGAGACTGCGGGCCTCCTGGTTCACTGGCTCCTTCTCCTTCGGCTCCGACGCCGGCAGCTTCGCTGTCTTGCTGCCCCAGAGGTCCACGTGCGACCTCGGCATGCTTCCAGCTCCAGGCCTGTGGTTCCGTCATCCCTCCCGTCTTGTAGCTCGAGCCCGCTGTGGAATGCTTGGTCCTTCGAAAAACCCCTCGCCTGCCGCAGCGTCTCCTTCGGGTGCCTGCAGGTCGCCGCGGTTGGCGCTTTGCCTGCCGCCAGGTAGCCCTCCGCGACCTCCAGCGCGGACATCGGGGAGCTCCCTCCTTTCGGCTCCGCACAGCCCACGCCCAAGCTACGCGCGACAGCGTCGGGTCCGCGGCGTGCGCTCTCCTCCCGACGCGTCTCCCGCAGCACGGAGCCGCTCCTCCTCCTCCTCGTCCTCTTCCTCCGCCGTGACACCGCGGACCGCCTCGACCTCGCCGAGCTCTTCTCTGATCTCCTCGCCGTCCTCTACACTGGCTTCGACACCGCCCTCCAATCTGTGGGTGGCAAGCCTCGTAGCCACACTCACGGTTGCAGCTCCATTGGGCCGGGCGCCTGGCGCACCAGGTCGGCCGCCTCTTGCGCTCCTCGATTTCGTCTTTGCCTTTGCACCTCCACATCCTGTGCGTCCACAGCTCGCGTGCCAGCCCGCATCGTAGGCACAGCGTGGTCGTGATCTCGATCCCGCACTCCGCAACGCGCTGCCTCGGCCACGCTGCTCCCGTCATGGTCGGTTCCGGAACCGGGGCCAATGTGCTCCACAACGCAATTCAGCAGGATGTCCCAGTCATTTCCTGCAAATTTGCAGACGTTGTTGCCGAGGTCAGGCGACGCACCGTGCCGCGTCTGGGACGTGCCAGTTGCGGTGGTCGCTGCCCTGGGACCACCATCACGGCATCTGGCTTCCGCTGGATAAGCTGGCCTGTTTGCTGCTTGGGCTCCGTGGGCCAGGTCGGGCCACTCGCGGCGAGCCTCCCGCTCGAAGTTTTATAAAGTGCTCTGTTGCGTTGGGCCGTGTGACGTCCGCGTCGCGGTCCTGTGCCCTCCTGGACGTGTGCCGCTGCCTCCTGCTCGCAGGCCCATTTTCAGGAGGGAAAGAAACACACAGACACAATGAATCGTCGATTCCCCAGAAACTATGGGAAAATATGGGAAGTGTGGGGGGAAGACAAAAACTCCAAAAATATGAGAAAATATGGGGGATCCTTTTTATTTGTGTGTATTTATTTGTGTGTCCCAGGGCCCCTTCACATTTGAAGTTGGTCAAGTGGAGTGCTGGTTTCACTTCCCTGCCTTTCAAACGCGACAACCGCCCGTGTGGGTTCTCTCACAGCTGGACCCTTGAGCTGCCGAGTGTCTTCCTGCCCGCGGGGTCCCGCTGACCTCTCGGGTGGGCTCACGCCCTGCTACCTGAGCAGGCGTTCGCATCATGCTGTGCGTTGATGAGCTTTCTCTCGGGCGCTGTCGCTTCTCAGGCGCCTGCAGCTATTTCGCCCCCTTCAGCTCGAAACGATCCTACCCTGAGTAGGCCACCGCTGCTGGGTGCGTGTGTAAAATCGACCTTGGGGCACGCAGAATTTGACTATGTGGTTTCATTCCTCTGCGTAGAGAGTTCAAGTAGTCAGACTGCTTATCTTTCACACCAGTTTATGTATTCGAGTCGTTGCTGATGTCCGCCGTCTTCGGTGACGCCGCGAGGTCCGCCTTCCTTGCACCGCCCGCGAGCTCCTGTCCAGCTTCGATGAGCTGCCGAACGACGGCTACTCTCGAACCCTCGATGTGCGCGCCCACATCGTCATCCCAAGATAACACGTATGCCTGCGGGAGTTTGTTCGAACCCTTCTCCAGCACCGCGTGCAATTCCACTCTGCCGAAGTGGGTGCCACGTCTATTCTGCGCGCGGATGTCTTTCCCTGGGGCAATCGGCCTCGCGCGCCGCCCTTCTTCTCAGCAGCCTTGCGCTCAGGTAGCTCAGCCAGCATCTCCTGGGGCAGCCCGCGGGCTGGTGGGCCCAGCTTATGCCCTCTTCCAGGACGAGGAAAGGATCCTGCCTCCAGCGCGCCCTAGAACTCTGCCAAGCTCCAGAGGATCAATGCCGAGCAGATCTTCTGCAGTGTCCCCTCCAAGATCTCGTCGGCAGACGACCGAACGAGGGCCTTTCTGAGCGCGTTGTTCCCTGCGACGGCTTCATCCCGCTTGCCTGCCACTAGCAGTGGCCCATTCTTTGGTGTACTCGCTCCTGACCTTCGACCGTATCTGAACTACTTCGGGCAGCAATCCCACGGCGCTGGCACTTCCAGATTTCTTCCTCAGAAGGCTGACCAGCCTGACCACCATCTGCCGCAGCTCGGCCCCCCCGTTCTCGATGTCTTCGGTGAGCTGCCCGAGCTCACTCTTCGCGCCCCTCGGCAGCCACTTGAAACTCTGCGCGCCGAACTGCTCCACTCCGTTAGCCCTGCCATTGGCTATCGTCGCGATGGCTCTGTCCAGGCACTCGTCGGTGATCGGCGTCCAGTGCACCTCCTCCGCGGCTGCCTTCCTGGCCCCCAGCTTCACGAATACCTCCTCCTTGTTACAGTGGCGTTTTTTTATACATGCTCCGCGTGCGGATCATATGTAAAACATGCAGGGATTTAGTATTAAAAACAACGATGAGTTCATGCATACATGCATTCATTCATAAGTTAATCATGTATTAAACATCCTATAAGCCCTGTAAGCTTGCTCGTCCACGCCCTGTCCCACTGCTTGCCTTTGGCGCCCACGTGCTCCGCCGCGACGTTTGGCGCTCCGCCTTCCGACCTGCCCTTGTCTTCGCAGCGCCCTCTGTCCATGGAAAGCTTCCCCAGCCAGCCATAACTGGGGGAGCTGTGGTCCTTACCCCCCTGGGGGATCCATCGATTTCGACACCCCTCTCGAGAGATCGTCGATGTGATGGGTTCCCCCAGGGGGGTGAGGACCACAGCTCCCCCAATTATGGCTGGTCGGGGTTGCCCCCTGCTCCCCAATCCAGCCAGTGTGCGCCAGCGACGCCTCCTGAACCTTCAGGTGCCTCCCTTTCCTCGCTGTGTCCAGCGCTGGCGCCCACAGATGGCTCCGCGGCCGCATGTCCGAGGCGGGAAGTTACACATGACCACCGCCTGGAGGGTCAGTCTTCGGAGCCTCGGCAGACGGTGGGTATGGCCTTCTGCGGGCCCCCGGGGGCGGAAATATACCCATATCTGCCGCCCGCTGGGGCACCGGGGCGTCTGTTCCTGGGCGGTGGATATGGAGGAGGAGGAGGAGGAGGAGGAGGAGGAGGAGGAGGAGGAGCAGGATGGGTAAAGCCCCGCCTCGCAGCACTGTGCTTCGAAGCCATGCCCGCTGCCTGCCGCTGCCTCTGGGCCGGCGTCCCGATGGTGCCGTGCTGCGGGGGGGCGCGCTGCCCGGGCCTCTGCGCAGGCTCCCGGGCCTCCCGCCCCTGTCTCCTCTGCCTTGGCGTCCGTCGGGCGTGGCCCTCCTGCTCCAGGAGGAAGACTCAGATCTAGTTGGGGACGATCCTTGAGTGTTCTTGGATCATATCTCAATCTGTTTCGACTATTTCGAATTTTTAGTCCAAGATCCCCCGGTAGGAGGACATGCCCGACCTAAGCCTCGGCATCTCTGTAAGTCTACCGACCACTGTGCTGGCGTGCTCTCGGCCGAAGCGCGTGGCTGTCCCCGCTGGCGTCGAGCCCCCCTGCTTGATCTCGC